GACTGCTGTGACAATGCGTAAACGTTCTCTTGATTTGCCAGCTCGTTTTATTGCAAATCATCCATTTTTGTTTTTTGTTCGTGATAATCGTAGTAGCACCATTTTATTTATGGGTAGATACAGTCACCCTCCAAGTAGTGGTAATGGGAAAGATGAATTATAAAAACAATGCCAATTGTTTGTGCCTTAATTTGAATTCCTATTTTTCAATGTATTGTTAAATTGGCTTTAGTAAAAATATAAATATTACATTGTGTACAAGAATTAAGTGAGAAACGGTCATGTTCAGACATGCGTCAGCATGTAGTCTATAAATTATGAGTGAGAAAGGGTTTTATTAAAATGTTAAAAAAATAGAAATAACTGTTTGATTTCTACCCTTGTATTTGTCTTTGACATTATATTTACTGTAGCTTTGGGAATATAGTGCTGTGGTCGCTGTGCAGCAATGGGTATATTACATGTATGAAACATGTGCAAAATACATTGTTTATTTACACAAAAGGTATGATAATCCCCATTTAACAATCATATAGCAGCTACATTTCTATGTATTCACTTCATTTACAGAGGTGAACACCCCTATATTTGATGATTTATGTGATTTTATAATACTGTATCAGTTTGTAAGATGTAAAAGGAATTTAAAATTGACTGTATTATGTTTTTTGAAATCTTTTCCTAATGAAGATATACTACATGTATAAAATGATATATTGATATTTTATGTTGAGTATTTATTTCCATCTGTTGAATGTGTTGATGATTTACATAGGATTGCAGAGGGAAAACAGAACCACAACAATTCAGTTTTTGCTTACCTATATTATGATGCTCACTACTTGTTTGTTTGTTGCATGATCAGTTTTGAAAATTTAGCAATTATTTTTCTCAAAACTGAAACTGACTATTCTATCTTTGTAGATAAAAGCATGGTCATATAATACAATAAGGACATCAACTGACATTTTAAAAACCTCCCTATTAAAGTGTCATACTCAGGCACTGAACAGAAATCACTAAAGATTTACAATGGTGATAGATTTCACTGAATGTAAAAAAAAAAATTCTCAGATGCTTTATTTTACATTTCTAGCAACTACAATTTAACAGGTTACAGTTAAAAGTGTAGCCATATCAAACTATTTGACAAATGCATTGGCAGTGACAAAATATATTGCTCAACAATAAGTGATTGCGGTTTCTTCATCTTTGTAACATTAAATCAGTCAGCTGATAATTTTTTATTTAAATTAGACTCATTGCTCCAGAAAAGTGTTCTTGCTTCGGATAATTTTACATTTAATTAATACACGATGAGTGACAATTAATTTACTATAAATATCACACACACGCTTTCACCTTTTTACAACCATCTTTTCATCACAAATTCACAACATATTCCCGTCTGCACTTTCCTTCAGAAGATTTGGACAAAAATAGCCAAATTGTTTAGGTAGAAGGGTAGAACCGCCAGTCAGCAATTTTAGTTTTGACGGTGAAAAATGTTGGATATACAGATTTGGAACTGCATTCTAGCCATTTTGAACCCGGTGCGAAAATAAAATGATTTGCATCAACGTCCTATTATGTTCTATGTATGTACAAAATTTGAAGAGAATCTCTCCTTGCATAATAATGCCATTTGCCCATCTTGAATCGGATCATAAAACTAATGCATCTGCACATGTCCGATATAATGTCTAATGTTTGTGTGAATGTTGAGCTGGATTGACGGGATTATTATTATTATTTGTTACTATTTCTCACCTTGTACTTATACTTTATTAAACACGTAAAATTCCCCAGGAGGAATTAAAATGGTTACATTTACACTAAACAAAGCTAGACTAATAATACAAAACATTAAGACTAAAGTAATGATTAAAAATAATAATATTAATAATCAAAATAAAAACAAATAAAAAAACATGAATAGTAATAAATCCCACTAACAGCAATAATAAAAGTAGAAGAAACCATTGTTAAAAAGTAATAACAATAATGATGCGTTAATGCATTAGAGGTTAACAATTTTGGAGGTGTTGCTGTCTTAAGTCAAGGGCAGTTTTAATGAATTGTCCGAGTGTGATATGAAATGAGGTAAAATTATAACTCATTGTCAGTGCAAATTGTTCATTAATTGTAAAATTATCAAAATTATTTAATTTGTTTCTTACATTTCTCAAATATTAATTTTCTTTTGTCATTGTAAAATGGACAAGTCATGATGAAATGTTGTTCGTCTTCTATTTTGTTTTCACATACTCTTTTTTTTTTACAGGTGTTTTTGGCTTGGAATGTCGTCCTGTTTCTATTTTTAAATTGTGGTTGCTTAGTCTAAATTTACATAATGTTTGTCTTAGTTCAACTTTTTTCAGTGATACCAAATAGTTTTCTAATTCAAATTTATTTTTAAATTTTCTGTATGTTCTCAATTTATTACCCTCTCGATCATTATTCAATTCTTCTTTCCAGTACTGTTTAAATTGTTTTTCCAATTGTATTTGTAAATTTTTGTTTTCAGCAGTTATTGTTATTCGGTCCAAATTAATTGTGTCACTTTCATTGATGTTGTTTAATTGTGTCGTTATTGCGGTTGTAGGATTTTATCATTTGTTGTTGTATAAATAAATGTAGCGGATATTCACCCAATTCTCCGTATATTGCCAATAGAATGAAATGCAATTACGGGAATTTCTGGTGATCAATTATTCCCTGTAAGAGTATAAATAAAATGAAATGAAATTTAAATAACAACAACAATTTATTAACTTATAACAACCTACTGAAGGAGGTTAAAGGTTACAACAACAACAACAAATTACAGATAAAAATTAATCAAATTACAATGGCTACAATTGCTATATCAAGCAAATATACAAATTTATCTTTTTTTTAATGCTTTTTTTGTTCCCTTACATTTTTTGTAGTTATTTTTCTTTTACTAATATCTGATTTGTAACCCTTTTCATCCCCTTCGGGGGATGTTGTGTGTTAATAAATAAATAATAAAAAATACCATAAACAACAGACTTTCCACCAAATAACACAAAACTATATATATGTATGGTAGTTTCTCCAAAAACAGAGCAACGCGAGATTTGTTGTCTGTCTTTCTGTCTGTCCTTGTGACAGTGACTATTAAAGTCTCCATTGCATTGTCTATTGTTGACAGTGCAATGGAGTTGTGCGTGGTATAATAAAGGTCTCATGCCACTAATTAACCAATGGCTGCTCGTAGCAGCCTAGCAAGAACCAATGAAATTTTTTAAATATTTTTTTTTCTCAGGTGCTCCCTGTTTGAGGGCGTAATCACCTGGGTCAGAGGTGAGACCAACATGTGGTCTTTTGTTTACTACTTAGCGGCTGTGTACCTGTGGGTTTATTCTGTGTGTATTTAGATGTTCTAATCTTGGTGTTTTTCCAGTGATTTCTCTTGGTGCAATCCAAGTACAGTAGGTGTGTCTTGTTTATCTGAGATTTGCAAGAGTTTGAGCTGGCCAACATGTTAGTTTTTTTCATATGGTTGATTACTGGCATGTTGATTTCCCATTTTTGAGCCATGTTTTCAACTTTCTTCATCATTTTTATATAGCAATCTCGTCATATGTTAACATTGTCGTCTATGGAAATTCAATTAGTGGTATGAGCCCTAATGCTGGACATCCTTCTGTACTATGACGTGTCGTCTTTCTTCTGCGCATGCCCATATGTTATATGACCTTTGACTTCAAAAATGGAGACCGTCGTAGAGGAAATCGTGCCACCCGAAGATTTGAAGGTGGGTAAATTGAAGCGTGTATTATATTTTGCAAAACGGCTGATTAAACTATAAACATAATTAGACTATGTGTTCGATTTTGTTTAGAAATGGTGTCCATAGCATACGACGTGCAAGACAAGAGTCACCTATGATTAAATCAGATTGGTCATTGTAAATCTACCTTATAATAGGAACAAGGGGGATAAACACAAAAATAAAAACCAGGAAATAGTTGAATCTCGCGTGAAATTTACATAATCCCAAAAGTTACCGAAAAGGTCATTTTAATATAAATGAACCTGCATCTCAACTCTGTGGTCCGGTGATCGTTTTTTTTTTTTTCTTCTCATTTTGTTAGATTGACTTTCTTCACATGTGTATTGCAAAATCTTAATAAAGAATACAAACGCAATAAAGATTATTATTATACAATGACAAGGTAATAGTTCAAATACTAGTTATTATGCCAAGATAGACAGGGGAATATAGAAAAACGACAAAGGGGGGGGGGGGGTGTTGCTGTCTTATTTAAAAGTGAATATACAAAATACATTTCTATAATTAGTGACCAAGCTAAATATTTTCATTTGGTGCAAATTATTTCCAATGCAAAGACACTTATTTATTGGCTGCATATATATCCCTTCTGAGAATTCCCAAATTATAACAACTCTGACACTGATTTGATTCTAGAACTGGAAAATTAATAACAAAATTATCTTGATAGATGTAATGATACTTGATGATTTCAACTCTTGTATTGTGATTTGAATGACACAATTGATGTTGAAAATAACAAACACATGCTAACCCATGTAGCTATATTGATGATAACACCAGTAAGAGAATAAACATTGAATCAAACTCAACAAATTCAGAATTTAAAAATAGGAATTTAATAATTAAATTAAATTATGTTTTAGTTGCAACCTCATAAATTTAAATGACCATAAAGTAAGTGACTCTATGTGATATCTGTCACATTCCAACAAGGAACTCCAAAACACTGTCGGTATATACATGCTTCATAGACCTGCGGCATTCAACAACATTTGGTATGAAGGCATGTTCTTAAAATTATCAAATTCAAGGAAAACAGGTGACATATAATTTATTAAAAGATGTGTACAGCCAATTAAAATACATATTAAAATTGATAGATGGTTTAACAGAACTGTTCTCTTCAAAGACAAGTGTAAAATAAGATTGTAATTTTAACCCCATACCGTTTAATATATTTATAAATGACCTTTCCAATACTTTTGACCCGGCTATGTATCAGCCACCAATTTTGAAAAACAATAAAGTCTGTTGCCTTCTACATTGTATACGCAAATGATGCAGTTATCCTATCTGAAACTAAATTGGGCTTACAGAATTGTCGGGGCAATCTTTCTTCTTACACCAAAAGATGGAAACAACTAGTCAACACAGATGAAACAAATATTATGATATTTAAAAACCCTAACCGTCTATTCAGTAATAATATATATTTCTATGAGAAAAAAAATCGACATAAATAAAAACTACATGTACTATGTAGAATATGGTTGCATTGACCACACTCTGCTAATTAATAATTTATAGTTTCTTTTAATTATTTTTTAAATAGAAATTTGAGAGGCTTTACAATAAAGAGGCTGTTGAGGGAAAAGTGAGCTCCAAGACAACATTTGAATATGCTTGGTGTCTCATTAGAAGTCGTTATCTTCGTGATATGCAGAAGGGAGTTATCCTTCTTGAAGATCTCTATGTTCATGGAGACGATGAATCACAAAGAGATTACCTATTTTATTTGGCCATAGGAAATTACAGACTTAAGGTAATGTAGATTGGTTGAATTACCATTACTCTGTATAAAGACATCCCAAACACACTGGTTGAATTACCATTACTCTGTATAAAGACATCCCAAACACACCGGTTAAATTACTATTACTCTGTATAAAGACATCCCAAACACACCGGTTAAATTACCTTTACTCTGTATAAAGACATCCCAAACACAATGGTTGAATTACCATTACTCTGTATAAAGACATCCCAAACACACTGGTTAAATTACCATTACTTTGTATATAGACATCCCAAACACACTGATTAAATTACTATTACTCTGTATAAAGACATCCCAAACACACTGGTTAAGTTGCCATTACTCTGTATAAAGACATTCCAAACACACTGGTTAAATTACCATTACTTTGTATAAAGACATCCCAAACACGCTTGTTAAATTACCATTACTTTGTATAAAGACATCCCAAACACACTGGTTAAATTACCATTACTCTGTATAAAGACATCCCAAACACACTGGTTGAATTACCATTACTCTGTATAAAGACATCCCAAACACACCAGTTAAATTACCATTACTCTGTATAAAGACATCCCAAACACACTGGTTGAATTACCATTACTCTGTATAAAGACATCCCAAACACACTTGTTAAATTACCATTACTTTGTATATACCGTAGACATCCCAAACACACTGATTAAATTACTATTACTCTGTATAAAGACATCCCAAACACACTGGTTGAATTACCATTACTCTGTATAAAGACATCCCAAACACACCAGTTAAATTACCATTACTCTGTATAAAGACATCCCAAACACACTGGTTGAATTACCATTACTCTGTATAAAGACATCCCAAACACACATGTTAAATTACCATTACTTTGTATATTGACATCCCAAACACACTGATTAAATTACTATTACTCTGTATAAAGACATCCCAAACACACTGGTTGAATTACCATTACTCTGTATAAAGACATCCCAAACACACCAGTTAAATTACCATTACTCTGTATAAAGACATCCCAAACACACTGGTTGAATTACCATTACTCTGTATAAAGACATCCCAAACACACTTGTTAAATTACCATTACTTTGTATATAGACATCCCAAACACACTGATTAAATTACTATTACTCTGTATAAAGACATCCCAAACACACTGGTTAAGTTACCATTACTCTGTATAAAGACATCCCAAACACACTGGTTAAATTACCATTGCTTTGTATAAAGACATCCCAAACACACTGGTTAAATTAACATTACTCTGTATAAAGACATCCCAAACACACTGGTTGAATTACCATTACTCTGTATAAAGACATCCCAAACACACCGGTTAAATTACTATTACTCTGTATAAAGACATCCCAAACACACCGGTTAAATTACCTTTACTCTGTATAAAGACATCCCAAACACACTGGTTGAATTACCATTACTCTGTATAAAGACATCCCAAACACACCGGTCGAATCACTATTACTTTGTATAAAGACATCCCAAACACACTGGTTGAATTACTATTGCTTTGTATAAAGACATCCCAAACACACTTGTTAATTTACCATTACTTTGTATAAAGGCATCCCAAACACACTGGTTAAATTGCCATTGCTCTGTATAAAGACATCCCAAACACACTGGTTAAATTACCATTACTTTGTATAAAGACATCCCAAACACACTGGTTAAATTAACATTACTCTGTATAAAGACATCCCAAACACACTTGTTAAATTACCATTACTTTGTATAAAGACATCCCAAACACACTGGTTAAGTTGCCATTACTCTGTATAAAGACATCCCAAACACACTGGTTAAGTTGCCATTACTCTGTATAAAGACATCCCAAATACACTGGTTGAATTACCATTACTCTGTATAAAGACATCCCAAACACACCGGTTAAATTAACATTACTCTGTATAAAGACATCCCAAATACACTTGTTAAATTACCATTACTTTGTATAAAGACATCCCAAAATCACAGGTTAAATTAACATTACTCTGTATAAAGACATCCCAAACACACTGGTTAAATTAACATTACTCTGTATAAAGACATCCCAAACACACTGGTTGAATTACCATTACTCTGTATAAAGACATACCAAACACACTGGTTAAATTACCATTACTCTGTATTAAGACATCCCAAACACACTGATTAAATTATCATTACCAGTATTACTCTGTACAAAGACATCCCGAAAAATTCACGAGTGTCAATGTTTGATATTGATTGATTATCCTAATATTATTGTTAGATAATTTGATATTGTTATCTTTTCAGGAGTATACAAAGGCACTGAATTACATTAGAGCTATACTAAAAAATGAACCCAAGAATCATCAAGCTTTGGAATTAGAAAAACTTATTAAAAAGAAAATGAACAGAGGTATTTCCTAATTAATATTGTATTAATATCACATGCACAATGTGTTCATGATGACAGTGTGATGTAAGACATGGCACATCACCACAGTGTGATGAAAGACATGGCACATCACCACAGTGTGACGCAAGACATGGCACATCACCACAGTGTGATACAAGACATGGCTCATCACCACAGTGTGATACAAGACATGGTACATCACAGTGTGATGTAAGACATTGCACATCACCATAGTGTGATGTAAGACATAGCACATCACCATAGTGTGATGTAAGACATGGCTCATCTCCACAGTGTTATATAAGACATGGTACATCACCACAGTGTGATATAAGACATAGTACATCACCACAGTGTGACATAAGACATGGTACATCACCACAGTGTGATGTAAGACATTGCACATCACCACAGTGTGATGTAAGATATGGTACATCACCACAGTGTGATATAAGACATGGTACATCACCACAGTGTTATATAAGACATGGTACATCTCCACAGTGTTATATAAGACATGGTACATCACCACAGTGTGATGTAAGACATGGCTCATCACCACAGTGTGATACAAGACATGGTACATCACCACAGTGTGATGTAAGACATGGCTCATCACCACAGTGTGATGTAAGACATGGCTCATCACCACAGTGTGATACAAGACATTGCACATCACCACAGTGTGATGTAAGACATTGCACATCACCATAGTGTGATGAAAGACATGGCTCATCTCCACAGTGTTATATAAGACATGGTACATCACCACAGTGTGATGAAAGACATGGTACATCACCACAGTGTGATGTAAGACATTGCACATCACCACAGTGTGATGTAGGACATTGCACATCACCACAGTGTGATGTAAGACATTGCACATCACCACAGTGTGATGTAAGACATGGCTCATCACCACTGTGTGATGTAAGACATAGCACATCACCACAGTGTGACATAAGACATGGTACATCACAGTGTGATGTAAGACATGGCTCATCACCACAGTGTGATGTAAGACATTGCACATCACCATAGTGTGATGAAAGACATGGCTCATCTCCACAGTGTTATATAAGACATGGTACATCACCACAGTGTGATTTAAGACATAGTACATCACCACAGTGTGACATAAGACATGGTACATCACCACAGTGTGATGTAAGACATTGCACATCACCACAGTGTGATGTAAGATATGGTACATCACCACAGTGTGATATAAGACATGGTATATCACCACAGTGTGATATAAGACATAGCACATCACCACAGTGTGATGTAAGACATGGTACATCACCACAGTGTGATGTAAGACATTGCACATCACCACAGTGTGATGTAAGACATTGCACATCACCACAGTGTGATGTAAGACATTGCACATCACCACAGTGTGATGTAAGACATGGCTCATCACCACAGTGTGACATAAGACATGGTACATCACCACAGTGTGATACAAGACATGGTACATCACAGTGTGATGTAAGACATTGCTCATCACCACAGTGTGATATAAGACATAGCACATCACCACAGTGTGATGTAAGACATGGCTCATCACCACAGTGTGATGTAAGACATTGCACATCACCACAGTGTGATGTAGACATGGCTCATCACCACAGTGTGATGAAAGACATGGTACATCACCACAGTGTGATGTAAGACATTGCACATCACCACAGTGTGATGTAAGACATGGCTCATCACCACAGTGTGATGTAAGACATGGCTCATCACCACAGTGTGATGTAAGACATTGCACATCACCTGAGTGTGATGTAAGACATGGCTCATCACCACAGTGTGATGTAAGACATGGCTCATCACCACAGTGTGATGTAAGACATAGCACATCACC